AAAAAGTAGACCTAGAAGACAGGACAACAGAAAGCACCCAATCAGAACAGCTGAGAGAAAACTAAATGAAAAACAAAACAATATATGGGACCTATGGGGTAATATAAACCGTACCAATCTATGCATAATAGGAGTTCCAGAAGGGGAAAAAGAACAAAGGGGATTGAAAAGGTATGGGAAGGACTCATGAGTGAAAACTTCCCAAACCTAAAGAAGGAATCATATCCAAGTACAGGAGGCTCAGAGGGTCCCAAACAGGAAGAACCGAAACAGACCCACACCAAGGCATATCCTAATCAAGACAGCCAGAGTCAAGGATAAAGAAATGATCCTAAAGGAAGCAAGAGAAAAACAAAGAGTGAGTTACAAGGGAACCCCCATAAGGTTTTCAGCTTATTTTTCTACACTATTTACAACAGCGAAGACATGGAAACAGCCTAAAATGTCCATCAAAAGATGACTGGATAAAGATGTGGGATAGTTATATGATGGGATACTATTCAGCCACAAAAACTGACTACATAACGCCATTTGCAGAGATATGGATGCTCCTGAAGAATGTTATTCTAGGTGGAGCAGAACAGAAAGAGAAAGAGGAATACCATGTGAGATCACTCATGTGTGGAATCTTAAATATATGCAAGATCTTGTAACTCACAGCAAAAAAAAAAAAGTGACAATGAATATATGTATGTTCATGTATAACTGAAAAATTGTGCTCTACACTGGAATTTGTCATAACATCGTAAAATGACTATTACTCAATAAAAAATGTTTAATAATAATAAAAAAAAAAGAATAGATATCAAGCAAGAAAGGAGAAAGAAACATGGAACTAGCAATACAAATAGAAAACACAAAATAAAACGGTAAATTTAAAGCCTAAATCCATCAGGAACCTCATTACCTTTGGATGGACTCAGTGCACAATTAAAAGACAAGCATTGTCGGGGGGATTTTAAAGAGAAAACCATGTGACTGATCAGAAGCACATCTAAGGCACGCGTGTGCCCAAAGCCGGGGCGGAGCAGAACACACCTCCACAAGGGAGGTCAGACAAGGTGAGAAGCCTCTCAACAGGAAACAGTCACTGTATATGATAAAAGGGTCTCTTTTTTCAGGATGAAATAAAGGTAGAAATTAAAAATTAATTGAGGGTGGACATACTACATATCAAAATTTGTGATATGCAGCTAAAGCCATGCTTAGAAGGTCATTTATAACCTTAAATGCATTAGGCTGAGAATCAATGAGAAATTCAAGCAAATTAGATCAGAACTGAAAGAAAGGTAAATTATAAAAGCAGAAATTAATAAAACAGGAAAAACAAGAAGTATAAAACTGAGGATCAATAAAGCCAAAATTTGAAAAGACCAAGTAAACTGACCACACTTTGTCGAGACTGACCAAGGAGAAGAGAAATAAGCACAGATAACCAGCCCCAGGGAAGAGCAGCAGACACCATACAGACGATGAAGACAATAAAAAGACACTATAACAGTCACATCTTTAGTAACAATATTTGGGAATTTGGATCAAATAGACAGATTCCTGGAAAAATGTGAATAATCACAACTATCTCAAAAAAAAAACCCTCTAAATTTTCCTATAATCATTAAAGAAAATTAATTAGTAACTCAGAATCTTTCAGGAAACTCCAGGCCCAGACAGGTTTTATCAGCAAGCTCCACCAGTTATTCTAAGGAAAAATAACTGCAATCTTACACACAAAATTTTCCAGAAAAGAGTGAAAAACTCCCCAAACTCATTTTAGAAGGCTGACATATCTTGATTAAAAAAAAAAAAAGAGTGTAAGAGAAAGTATCGGTTGAAAACCTCACTTATAGACATCAGATGCAAAAATACTAAAAGGAAAAAAATTAATACAGCACAATATAAAAAGATATAAAATGGTATCAAAGACTGCAAGGTTAATTTACCAACAAAAAATTAGTTACTGTTCATTTTATTAAAGAAAAGAAATGACATTTTCTCCACAGAATGAAAGAAAACAATGTCCACAATCTCCACTGACCCCAAGGGAATCCTGTCAGTCCCACCAGTGCAGTCAGGTACTAAACTGAAAGTAAGGAAACACAGACCACTGCCTTCAGCCATGACAGAGGCAGGGGACTGGATCTACCCTACACACACCTGGACAAAAGACGTGAAATGGGTTTCAGACACAGGACAACTGACATAAAAACTGTCATCACGGGGAGCGAAACGAACAGGGGAGCCTCCTGCCTGTAGACAAGTCTCCAGGTGCAGCGCAGAGATGGGGGCTCAGGGGCCAGGGCGCTGCACCCCATGGGAGAGAGCTGGGGAGCTGGAGCTGCAGCCGTGCCGGGAGGAAGCACCCACCTGCGGGGCATGAGGGGACAGGCCCAGAGGTGGATGTTTCCTATACGACAGTAATGGCGGTGGTTAGAAACTACACAACTGTCAAAATGGACTGAACACTGAGAAAACCAATGCATTTTATTTATTCTATGTAAGTTACACATCAATAAAATGTATTTAAAAAGAAACAAAAAACTAGAAAGGAAGAATATGCCCTTATTTGCAAATTATACTATTACATACATAGAAAACCTAAACAAATTTTGAGATGAATTATTGGAATTAATCAGAGAATTCACAGAAGTTGCTATATGCAAGATCAATTATATTTCCATACACCAAATGGCAAATGAAATATTTTTAAGATATCATTTACGAGAATGATCAAAAATGCCAAAGATCTAAGAATAAATTTAATTAAAGCTATATCCAATTTCTCTATAGAAGACTATTTAAAAAGCAACATGTCACAGGCCTTTGCCTCCTGTACCAAGCTGCTTCTTCCAGAAAGCCCACAGAAATCGTGTTCTGAAATCTAAAGCAGGACACACACATGTGCTGAAAAGGCTGACACACAGAGAGAGGCTGGCACATAAAGAGAGTGCAGTGTTTCCCTCTAAAACAAACCTTAGGCAACCAGGAAACTACCTCCTATAATGAAAACATGTATTTCAGAAAGGAAAAAGAACAAAAAGTCATTGCTTTACCCCAGTCTATTTTCTCTTCTCATAGTTTAAATTTCATATAGAATCTATAATCAATCTTTATAATACCATGGTAGAAATGAAGAAATATAAAATATAAACATAATATAAAATATAAATTAAAATTTCACTGTCAAACCTTTCCTGCAATGCTTAATAATGTACCTGGCTAATTTGGTTAGAATTACACCATGGATTTGGCCATTATATATTTGCCATGAATGCCATGTTTTTTTAAAAATTTTCTCCTCACCAAGACAAATCCTACCTGAAAATTAGTACAAATCATTTAATATTCACTGAATTCTCATATCAGGAAATAATTAAAACTACTTTTGCTGAAATACACACTTTTAATACTGTGATTCAAATTATTATAAAGGAATTAGATAACTGAATAGAAAAATGTCAATTTGATAACAAGAACAAAATACTGCGGAAGTATTGAAAAATTAAAAGTCTGGGAGGAAAGGCGTGAGCAGAAAATCAGCAGAAAAGCAATTCATAGCACGTGGGGCAAGAAGGCAGAGGTCTTGAAATAAGAAAACTCGGTTTTATTACAAGAGGAAAACACGTACCTCTCTTCTTTGTTTATCTGGTCACCAAAGCCCACCGTATTCACGATGGTCAATTTCAGGTGAACATTACTTTCCTGGAGTTCATATGTCTGAGCTTTAAGTCTAACATGTGGGTAAAAATGTGAGGACTCATGGTCTTCAAAGTTAGTATTAAACAATGTGTCAATCAGCGTTGATTTTCCAATTCCAGTCTCCCCTGAAAGAAATGCAAGCACATCTTCACAAGTGCACAAGATGAACGAGGAAAAACAGCACAGTGAACTCTTACAGTGGTTTCCAGGATCCCAAATATTTCAAATATTTCAAAGGCTGGGTTGTCCCTGAAAGAAATAGATGCTAAGGCTGGTCCACTGAGTCACCAGCAGAGCATAAAAATAAGTCATGTGTGCTAAGTCACTCAGAGCTGTGAAGAAAGAGCTGAAATGTTTAAAGGACAAACGAAGCCTGAAGCAGGACAGCTAAGGAGAAAACCTGATAGGCTTTAGTAACTGAAAACAATCTGGGACCATGATCTCAAGCTGCTAGCACGGCAGCTCCCTGCTCACGACAAGAAGGTGGGGAGCACAAGGGGCAGGAAGGGATAGTCTGGAGGGAGGCTGGCACTTACCCACGCAGAGGATATTAAAGCAGAAGCCTTGCTGAATCGACCTGTTGACCAGCTGATCAGGCAAACTCTCAAAACCCACATGGCCAGACATGGTTAAAGAACGAGTATTATCTTTTTTTTGCTGAAAGAAAACAAAACAACAGCAACAACGAAAAAAAAAAGGTTTACTGAAACAGGGTGTCGGCATATGAGAAAGGATAAACATAATTTACCAAAGAAACTCAAGACTTTGATCATTATACCTCCCTCAAGACACAACTGATTAAGTTTGTGAGAAAGGATGAAGACTATCAGAAAAATAAAAGTATAGGGAAACATACAAGAGAATTTTTTGCTTGTTTCAATTTCTTGAAAATATAAATTGACTGTTTAAAGCAATAACCACCATGTATTACAGGATTATAATATACGGAGAAGTAGAACGTATGACAGTGAGAGCACAGAAGACGGGAGGGGTGGAGTCACCCCGCTGTAAGGGTTCCACATTATACACCAAGTGCTACGATACTGTTTGAAGGCAGTGAGGGGTAAGTTAAAGCCCACATTAATTACTACTTTACAAAATAAAACACCAAAGAGTTTTAGCTAGTAAGCCAATGGTAGAGATAAAATGCATGATAAAAATATTAAATCAAGAGAAGGCAGGAAAAGACTAAAAATGAAAGAACAAATGAGACAAACAGAAAACTAACAGTCAGTTGGCGGATTCAGACCAGCCGTGTCCATAACTAAACAGAAGGGGTCTGAGCCAGTGCTTTCCAGCAGAACCTCCTGAGATGATGGGGCGTCCGGAGCTGAGCCAGCAGCAGGTGCTACTAGCCACCTGCAGACACTGAGCACCTGGATGTGACACATGCACCTGAGGAAGGAACTTTCAAATTTTATTTAATTTTAACTAATTTAAATTTAAATAACTGCATGTGACTAGTGGCCACCATACTGGACAGGGCAGGTCTAAACTTTTCAGTTAAAAGAAGGAAACTGTCAGAACCGGACAAAAGAGCAAAACTCAACTATATGCTGTCAATGCAGTAACTGACAAGCTGATTATAAAATCCATATGGAAAGGCAGAAGGTTTAGAATAGCTAAAATAACTGTACAGAAGAACAAGCTGAAGGACTTACACTCACTACTGTAAAGCTACCACCAGCAGGCGCGGCCACCCTCAGGTGTCCTCTATGCAGGTGCACGAGGCTGGGGGCTGAGGCAGAGGCTGGGCACCAAGTCCAGGAGGGAAGTCCCCGGCACAGTGACCACACTGGACAGCTGGGACAAAGGACGAGCACCCTGAGCCCCTGCACCAGTGTCCTCACCAGCCAAGCCCATCACCCACTTTACAAAGGCGTTCGACCTCCTCATGCACCAGCCTGTGACCCCGGGGAGGTTTACAGAGTGCAGCACACCAAGAACAGGTATTGCTACTACCACCGTGAGTTCCATTGGTGCTGGACATCAGAGTGCAAGGAAAAGGACGTCTTGTGCATGTTTGAAGCAGAAATGCAATGGAGACTGCAAAGCTGACCAAGAAATTGTCAGCATTATCCAGGAAAGGCTGAAGGCTGGAAGGTGAGAGCTACAGGCAGAACTGTTCCAAGGAGCTGGAGCAGTTTAGCCAGGTGGCCAAGGCCTACCAGGACCACTGTCACGACCTGGGGCCCCATCACTCTGCCAGGAAGTGCCTGGCAAACAGAAGCAGAGGATGCTGGTGGAGAGAAACGCTGATAAAGAGGCTGCTGGTGCCTGAGGCGGCTCCTTGAACCCTCTCATGTGACCGTCACTATTGCTAAAATAAAGAGTAATGGAATTTGTCTCTCCAGTGTCTTACTGGCCCCACTTTCCTTGCAAATTCAGCCATCACTTAAAAAAAATAACCAAAAAGCAACTATAAAAAATAAAATTTTTTTAAATAAAAATAAAGCTATAATCACCAAGTGATATCTTGGTGTGATAATCTGGTATTTGTCTATTTGCCTACTTCATCAAAATTAAAAACTTATAATCATCAAGGAATATGCAAGTCAGACTGGGAGAAAATATAACATTTATGACAAAGCACTCGTATTCAGAATACATAAAGAATGTGTAAGATTCAGTAACAAGACAACCTACTTTATTAAAAAAAATGGGTGAAACCCTTGAATAGACACTTCACAAAGAAGATAACAAAATAAATAGGCAGTAAGCAAATGAAAGAGTGCTCAACATTATTAGTTACCAGGGAAATGTAGACTAAAACTACACTCAGATACCACTGAACAGCCACTAGACTGGCTAAAAGTAAGAAGGCTGATAATGTCACGTGGTGGAGATGACGAAGCACATGGGAACTCCAGTGCATTTACTGGTGCAACATGAGCCAGCCCAGCCACTCTGGAAGACAGGTGGTGGTTTCCTAAGAAGGTAAAGACAGAACTGTGCAACCAGGCACCAGAGGTAACTAACATCCATCCACACAAGGACTCACACACCAATGTTCACAGCAGCTTTACTGCAAACAGGCAAAGACTGGAAACAACCAAATGTCCAACAACTGGTGAGCGCACAAATTAGTGTAGCCACACAGTGGAATCCTGAACCCCAGACACATTCCACACATGGGTAAATTTCCTAAGCTAAGTGTATAAACAGTGACTTAGTTACTATGATTTGAGTTTCAAAAGGTACATTTTTTCATATATTCTCATATATGAATATGAATAAAAATGTCTCAAAGGGTAGTGACAGACTATTGAGACTGGTGACCTCTGGGGAGTGGACTTGGAGGTGGAGGTGAGAAAGATGTGCTTTTGATTGCATACGGCAGGAGAGTCTAAGATGATGGCCCCCAGTGTACCCACACCTTCAACCCGTTTAATCAAACACGAATCCGGGTGCTGCTGTGAAGCATTTTACAGATGTAATGTAAGGGACTCGCCTTTCCAGTTCCCCTGCTGATGGGTGGCAAGGACCTAAGAATGACCTCCAGGAGCCGACAGCAAGCAGCCAGCGAAGAACTGAATTCTGCGAACAACCTTCTGGGAGGGGAGCCTCCGGATGGGAACTAGCAGCGAACACCCGGCGGGAGACCTGAGCGGAGGAAGAGCCAGTGGAGCCGTGCCCAGCTTTTCGACCACAGGCTCTGAGTTAATAAAACAAGGGGCTTTAAGCAGCTCTCGCTGCCGTCTGTCACAGAGCAACAGAAAACCAGAGCACAAGCAAGTTGTGCCCCTCAAGCCCCTTTCAGTGAGGTAAGCGTGCCATCTTTGTGATTTAAAAAGAAGAGGCTTTTCAAAAATGTGGGAATGGCCACTATAATTTAATGAAGAAGTGGGGCTGGAGAAAATGAGGACTAAGCAGTGAGCACTCGGCACTAGTCACTGAGAGGTGACAGTAGTGTCAGCAAAGCAATGTGTCAGAAGGCAGATTAAGTCTGTGATTCAAAAAGAGATCCAAAAAGATTTTAAAGTCTGTGAGGTGATAAAACAAAGATGGAATGAGAGAAAAAAGATAAAAAGGATGGCAGTTTGGTGGCCAGATTATCATTTATCAAAACTGTGGGGACCTGAGCACGTGTGGAGGAGGAAAACACAGGGAGAAACTGGAACCCAGGACTGAAGGGAACCGTTTAATCTGACTGATTATCCACATGTGTATCTGCAATTTGATTTTTAAAAATTGACAACTCACCTCATTCACCAATTTAAATTTACTCCCCCTTTTTAAATGTAACTTTTAATACGAATTACCAAAACACACCCCTCCTGTACAGACACACTTGGGAACCTTTGGAAGCACTAGGATCTGACCTCGCACTCAGGAAGGCGTCTGACAGGCCGGGCAGTGGCCTCCTGCTCTGTCACTACCAGGGGCTGCCAGCACCCTGACAAGAGTCGCGCCAGTCCCCACGGATGCTGTGGCAGCAGCTGGGGTTTGAATCTGCTTAATGTTGGGGGTGGGGGTTGAGGGGCAGAGACACTGCAGACACTCAACAATTATTCAATTCATCATTGATTTTTTTAACTTGAATCAATATAAAAGTTAATTCATATTCAAGGTAAGTACCAACAAGAGCCCGTCGGGTCTCTCTGTAGTTACCCAGAAACCACAGAGGCATCCAGAGTACAAGGCAGACCCACTGAGAAGATATACTCACATTCTGTTCACTGTCAGGCAGTTGGGAGGGCATACCAGCTGTTTTTGCTGCCATATGAGACTGAAAGAGCTGAAAAAGAAAAAAAAAAATAGAAGACATAGATTCTTACTCAAAAAACACCAATATCTAAGTAATATTTTTACATCAAAAAGGAATTCCAATATTGTCATTATCACCAAGTTTTGACTTGTAATCTACACAAATGACACGTTTAAAGCTGGTTTTCCTGTGGAAGGAGACTGGCACGGGTCAGTAACAGAATATCCCACACGTGATACACATTATTGCACTTACCCACACACACACACACACACACCAAAAAAAAGTAAAAAAATAGCAAACTCCCATTCACATCCAGGAAGGCAAAGAACATTACTTTTATTTAGATTTTATGGGATTAAAAAGGGAAAATAAGCTATTTCACTTAAAATACTCTAGAAGCCAAGAAGGCACTCAAAATTAGGTATATTCACTACAGCGTGCCAGGGGAAACAGAAATATTAATGTTCCAATTTCAGTATAGCTGGGACAGCAGGGATTTCAGTCTGAACAAGTCTCTCAGTTATCTTATTAAAATATAATTAGGATTCTGAAGGTTAAGTAACTCACCCTAAATCCTACCAGCCAAAGAGTTGTAGACGCAGGTCTAACCTGACTGCAAAGCTGGGTTCCCTCTACGGAACCGAGCGCAGACCGAGCGCAGACCGAGCGCACGGTCAGTGAGTTCGCAAGGAGCGGGGAAGGCAGAGTTGTGGGGATTTCAGAGCCGCCTCAAAGGTGCTGCCACCCTGCTTCAGAGCACAGCACAAGGCACTGAGGACACGCAGCATTTCCAAAAAGTGGTATCAATATGGATGTAGTCAGAACAAATGCAAAGAGCGCCAATGAGAACACAGAGCAGAGTAAGTTCCCTTCCTCCCTTGAGCCCTGAGAACCCCCACAGCTCTCGCCCTCAGAGGCCACCAGACACGCAGGTACCTCCTGGAGGGAACGATGCCCGCGTCAGCACCCGTGAGCATGCACTCTCTGGTTTATGCACACAGCACACGCCCACCTCTGCGGTGGGTTTCCTTCGCACTTACCTCATGGTGAAGGCTGTCCCACCATGGAAGCTGCCTCAGTCCACCCGCGGGGCGCTCCCCTGTCCTGTCATGACGCGATACGCGGGTGCACTGTCTGCGCCGAGGCAGCCCCTGGCCTTTAACTACAGCGAACGCGCTGCAATGAGCAGCTCTGCCCGTGCGGAGGGTGAGGGGAAACCCTGTGCTGCAACAACACCTCAAACCGCCCCAGCACACCCCCTGGGGCTGCAAGCACAACCCCACACACACAAGGGCACGTCAGGGCTGCTTTCTACACCACCTTCCTCTGGTCCCTCTGGGTAACACAAGCTTTGGAAGGTGGGCCCTGGGACTGAACAGGATGCACAGTGAGTCCAAACCCTGAGCAGCCAACCGAGCACACCGTTCCGGCAAGAAACGGCTCTGGCCAGTGAGAAGAGGCCCCTGCATCAGAGCCACAGCTGAGGCCTCGAGCAGGCTGCCCAGAGGGAACCAACTGAGTGAGAGCAGGACCTCCACGCGGGGTCTGCCAAGGCAGGGATGGACATCAGGTGCCACTCGTCTAACTGAACTTCACCTACCACAGAGCTTTAATGAAAATTAATCTTTAAAATAGTACAGTAGCAAAGTAGTTTCAAGGTTTTTATATAATGGATAGCATTGCTAGATTTTTGTAAAATGCTGCTTAGGAAGCAGTTTCATTGATAAGTAAAATTTGTTTAGAAAAAATATGATAGGTTTGGACTCTATCATTAAACTTTGACTAATAAAACCAAGGTTACACTTCTGTCATTTATGTACCTTCACAGCAAATATCTACTTTTGTTTATTCATTTCCTGTGTTTCTGAACACCTGCCAAAAAGCCTACTTAAAATCTCCATGGATAAGCGTTTTGATCAGCAAGTACAAATGAGTCACATAAAAGTATTATAGTTGTTTTTAATATTGTCCACTGGTATTACCTGACTAGGCAAATTTCTAAAACGGGTTTTAGAATGAAAACAGTTTTTAATAAATTAACATGACATTATCAAAGATAAAATATCAAGGGGACAGGAGTTGACCCAGTCCTTCTAGTGGCAAACCCTAAATTAAAAAAAATCTGACAGTGGAATTCCAGTCTGCTCTACCACTGACTACCTAGTGCGAATACTGTGCTGGGGAATGGGTCTCAGGCGGAAAAGACACAGTCCTGGATCTCAAGAACTTAGAGAAACACAAGGTCAAAACAGGCAATCAGATCTCACTCCGGGGCACAAGGGAGACTAAGAAAATCACTGCCTATACTTGACAACAGTCAGCAGCTCTTATTGTAAATACATGCATACATCATCTGTAAACACACACGTATTTAAAACTACACACCTACATCCTGGAAAGAAAAGACTGATACAATACCTTTTAACTTCTGGGAAGTCTAACACATTTTTTTAAAAGTTGTCATACATGACGAATCACAGAAAAGTGCCAGAACATTTTGGGAAAGGTCAGGTTCTCCACCTCCTTCAAAACTTCAATGTGGGTAGTATGGGCAACAGTCTGTGCTGGGGTCCCCAGGAGACAGGTGGTACGTGACCTTTCTCCTATTGGTCAATTACGGGAAAACATTCAGTGATTCTTCCACAACAGGACCCTAGATTTCCTGACAACCTTCCTGACCCTCTTGGAAACAATCCTGAATACTTGGTTTTCATTTTAACTTCACTTTACCAGTTTTTATCTTTGTAAAACTAATCCAAGAAATGGAACCAAAGTTTTCAAACTGTCCTCTAGAGTTTCTTTGAGCTCTCTAAGACAAAAAAAAAAAAGAAGAATGAAAAAGCAAAGAGTGGTCAATAGTGATCTGGGCCTACTTTATGGGTTTTAAGAGGTCAGGGTTCAAGAGGGGTTTTAAGCTCAAAAAACCCCACAAAATACCAAAAACCACAAAGACCTTACAGTAATGTGTATGTAGCTGCTTAAAGTACAAATGCAATCGTGTTTTGAAATTACTTTCCCCTCCTTAATTAGGAAAGGCATATTTTATTATCAGACAAAATACCATGTCTAACTGTGTCACTTTAGTAGCACTGCAGTGAACATCCCTCTGCAGCAGCCAGAGGTATGCCCTGGGATGTCCCTTCAGCAAGAAGGCCCCTCTGGTCACACAGACTGCAGTCAGCAGCAGCCTTCCTGCAGAGACGGGAGCCCAGACCACTCCCTCCCCAGGCAGTCCCAGCCAAGGGCGGAGCAGGGCGGGGTGTCAGGGCCTGGGCCTCGGGCCCTCCCTGAGGATTCGGCTTCCTAACCTCTCTATGTCCAGGGCTGCCAGGATCTGCATTTGGGATGCAGCCTCTACTCTCCAGTCCTAATCCTCCCCTCTCCTTCAGGGCATGACCTCCCCTGCCCTCCTCCCACCCCTACTCAATCTCTTCAGCATCTGCTTCGGGGAGGACCCCCACACACACCTGTACAAGCATACATCAATCACTGTGTGCATCTGGTAGTTCCCTCACAATAGATCCCTAGAATGTAATCACCCATCCGAGGTGCAAACATACTGCCAAACTGCTTACGTTTCCAAAATCATAAAAACAGTGTCCATTTCACTACATAGTCATCAACACAAGGTGTTAACAATTTTTAAGCATCAATTTGTTAGGGAAACACTGAAATCTTAATTTGACTTCTGGTATTTTGAACATTTTTTTTCAGGTTACTGGCCTAAAAAGTATATAGTATATTTTCATACATCACCAGTTCATGTTTCCCCCACATTTACCTATCAGGGTATTTCTTTTTTGTCTGTCTTATTAACAAGACCTGTTGGAAATAACTCCATGCTTGTCATATGCAGAACAAATGTCTTTTCCTGATTTGTCACTGATCTTTTCGATTTTCAGAGTCCAATCTATCGATATTTCCTGTTAATGGCTTCTTCCTTCATATGTTACACAGAAGTTTTTAAGGCTTCTAAAATTTACTTTCTAGTACTGTGTGAGTTACAGAAAGCTTGCTTTTCCTCAATGTTGTTGGCCTACGGTACCATCAAGGGACAACAAAGTATATTCAAACATCTGTAGTTGGCCTTATGGAGATGAATCTCCCACGGGAAAAACCAGGACCCATGATCCTACTGTGGAGGCAGAACTGACACAGCAAAGAGATTTCTGACGGTCTAGAGCTGTCTAACAAGAGTGGGATGCGCTGACTGGGGTCTCAAGACTGGGGCTCAGCTGTTGGTCTTGGAGGTCAAGCAGTCACACAGTAACTGTCAACAGGGCAAACTGTGGAAGCAATTTCCGTACTGAGCAGGAAGCAAAAACAACGTTCTTCTAAGAGCACCTCACCTCCAGCCCAGACAACATGACTGAATGCCCTGAGCAAGCAGTGCGGCCAAGTCTGTGACGTGACAGACAATGAAGAGTGAGTCATGGAAACTGCAAGTGCAGACAAGACAGGCTGAGGAAGGAGACACACAGCCGCACCTCGCGGACATGGAAAGGTTCTATAAATGAAAAGTGGATGAATTCCTGTGAGAGGGAGCATGTTACATGCAGGCCAGGTGAGGGGAAAACAGAAGAACTTGTTAAAAAGACTTAAAACTGACAAGGAACATTAAGGGGAGAGAAGAACACTGAGGGATAAGTGTAAAGCCTGTCAATACACATTGCTCTTCATTTATTCCACAAATTTACTAACAGCCTGCATTTTCAGGAACCCAGGCATTGAAGCTCGAAGGTGAGTAAGTCCTGTCTTCGCAAGCTGATTTGCGCACAGGTGGGAGACACGCACACGGCTATGGACAGGACGCAGCAGCGGCTCGTAGCGTAATGACCCTGCCCGGGCAGAGACACTGCCAAGACGAGGCTTGAGGTGAGACTTGAAGGAGACATAGGGATTCTCCTAGCAAACAAGAAAAGTAGGTAGAGGATTCAGTGTGTGCAAAAGCACATGAGCACTCTTGGCGTGGTTGGAAGCTGCAGCCATTTCAGTATCATTTATGCCGAGGAGGCCGAGGCTTATGAGCAAGGAGGATGGCAGAGGAGAGAGGTGAGGCTGCAGAAGGCAACGGGGCAGGGCACCCCCTGTGCCTCGGCATGAGGCCAGGAGCCCTGTCAAGCATCCCAGACTTAAGGTAACTCAATAGATATCACTGCCTAACAGGAAAGAAAATTTGAGTTTAAGGCTCCTAGGCGCCCCCAGATCCCTCAAGAGGCTTCCACCTAGCTGCCCAAATCTTAGTCAAGTGTACAGTTAATCTAGGGTAATCTTTACACGGTTATTAAAAACAAATGCAGTGTTAATTCCCATTTCTCCTCAGGTGTCCACTGACTCCATAAGACTTGTCTCCTTTCACACTGGGAGCCCTGAAAGTGCAGCCCAACTCACTGAGCAAGTCTGCTTACTTTTCAGACTGAACACAGTTAATACCATACCCCTAGTCACAGGCTGCAGTGTAGAAGTTATTGTCCCATTTTTGAAAGTCATAAAAAGATAAATCTTCAAAAGGAATGACAAAAGTTTCATATACTAAGAGTCTATACTGAAATACTGGCCATAGGGAATATTTTTACAAAGATTAGAATCAATAATTATGAACAGTGAGAGAAATTATATGATGGGATATTAATTAATATAATGGGAAATTATATGATGGCAAAAAAATATTGAAGACTTTATTGAACCCTGGTTACAAGTAAAAATTATGCATATGAACAAGCATATACAGTCTGATTCTGGAAGGAAGAAAATAAGTATTTCCTTTTCTTCTTGATATCCATTGCTATTATCACCTATGTGAATTTAACAAAGACTAAAGTAGAAAAAAAGAACGTCTTCCTTAAATTCTACAAAAATGCACATAATCTACAGATATGTACTAAGTGCCTACTATATTCCAGGGACTGTCCAAAGCACTGGGGCTGAATAACAACAAAACTAAAAAACAGCCACCATGGGGCTTCCATTCCAGTTGGCGAAGGCAGGCAGAAATCCAGTAGAGCAAATGCTGGGATGTGTAGTAGAGAATAATAAATGCAATAGGAAAGGAGGGTGGGGTCGGAAATGAGGAGGAAGCATGGTGAGGGGACCGCTGTGAACAGGGTGGTCAGGGAAGGTGCAGTGCAGCCAAGACCAGAAGGAGCACAGGGAGCA